GCGCCCCCGCCGCCCGCCGCCGCAGCCGGAGCAGCATGGTCCAGCTGGGGAAGCTGCGCCGCGTCCTGACTTTGATGAAGTTCCCCTGCTGCGTGCTGGAGGTGCTCCTGTGCGCGCTGGCGGCGGCGGCGCGCGGCCAGGAGATGTACGCCCCGCACTCGATTCGGATCGAGGGGGACGTCACCCTCGGGGGGCTGTTCCCGGTGCACGCCAAGGGTCCCAGCGGAGTGCCTTGCGGCGACATCAAGAGGGAGAACGGGATCCACAGGCTGGAAGCGATGCTCTACGCCCTGGACCAGATCAACAGCGACCCGAACCTACTGCCCAACGTGACGCTGGGCGCGCGGATCCTGGACACTTGTTCCAGGGACACTTATGCGCTCGAACAGTCGCTCACTTTCGTCCAGGCGCTCATCCAGAAGGACACTTCCGACGTGCGCTGCACCAATGGCGAGCCCCCGGTTTTTGTCAAGCCGGAGAAAGTAGTTGGAGTGATTGGGGCTTCGGGGAGTTCGGTCTCCATCATGGTAGCCAACATCCTGAGGCTTTTCCAGGTAGGGGGGCGCTCCCTCGGGGGCGGAGCACGCTGTGGCTCCTTGCGCTCTTAACCCTAAAAGCTGGTTTGGACTCCAGGGGTGCAGGAGCAGGGCTGCCTTCGCGCATTTCCATCCTGGAGATTCTGCCGAATCCCTCCCACCCCACCCAAGGAGGTAGCATCCCTGTTTGGTTTATTCCCCTTCTGTCTCTCCCCGGTCCACGCTTCACTCCATCCAGCTTGACATCGTGGATTTATGGTCCCGTTTACAAGAAGCAATCTGCGAAAAACAAGGCGATGATTTAAATGGGTTTGCGTTAGAGTGAAATATGGTCCGAAAGCAGGCTTGTAAAAGTGCTGGGCTCCTAGGAGAGCTGGTTAGGCGCATGCAATATGAAGGATGAGAAGATGCCTCCTCGAAACTGGGCATTTCCCAACTCCCCTGCTTCCCACCCCCAAGCCACCTGGCAAACCTCCGCTCCTTTGGAAAATTTCGAGACGACCTTAAGGAGCCACTTCTTAAACGGAGGGCGAGGTCTTAACCTAGGTGTGGATGTTAATCTCCCTCAGGTTGGATTTCCCGACCAGTAGCGGTCTCCGGGAGACACTCTGGAGGGAGGTATCCATCCGGACCCTTCCCCAGCCGGGAGACACCGCCCGCAGACGTGACCCCGTTGGTTTGCTCCGGGCAGAGCTGTGCACCGTCTAAATTGCATTTGCAGTCCGGCCACCGGCAGGGGCTGGGGGGTCAGCTTTCTTTCCACTCCTGCCACTTCAGACCTCAGCCCAGAGATGAGCTCATGCTAACTGCGAAACAAAATAGCTTTCGCTGTCTCCTCCCTCCACCCCTCGCCCACTGCTTCCCCCTCGCAGCCCTCGACCCGATTCTCAGGTCCGGGGACGTTTCCGGGCAGGCGTGAGGTTGGAGGGCGCCTGGAGGGAGGCGGTAGGTTGTGGGAGGAGGGCCCCGCGTTCCTCCTGCTCCGGTGCGGGAGGGCGATGGCAAAAATGGGAGAAAGGCGGAACCGGGCTGCGGAGCGGTGGGTTCTACCGCAGTGCTCTCTCCCTGCTGCCCCCCCTGGAGTCTCTGCCCCATGGCTCCTGTGCTGCTTTGAGTGGCAGCGGATGGCTTTGGGCTTCAGAAATTGAGTTTCAGGGTCTCCGTGACTGGGGGGTTCCCTTCTCCGTGTTTCGCCCTGTGTGTGCTTGTCTCTCTGCCTGTCTCCTTGCTCCGGTTTTTTTTTTTTTTTTCCTTCCATTCAGTCTCTGCCTGGCTTCTCCCTCTCTATCTCCATTCCCAAGTTCCTGGTTCCTCTTCCTCTTGAGAAGACCGTTTCCTAATGCATGTCTCCCAACCTGCCTGGTGCTACCCAACCCAGACACCCGCTTTCCTACAAGCTTGGCTGATCTTTGCCCCCTTAGGCTCCCCACGTCTCAAGAACTGAGCACTTTCCCAAAGGGTGTCAGTGTCAGGAGGGTTCTCCAGAGCCAGAGCCTGGTCACCCCTTCACCTCCAGGAATGTGAAGTTTGTGATCAGGCACAAGCAGTGTCCACCCCAGGCTGCAGCCTGCAGTGGTTGCGCTGGTGCTCAGAGCCCCACTCACACCGCTTGGCCATGCAGTGGTGGAGACCCCTAGATATTTAGCGAACCCCAACATGCTTCTGAGGTAACCTTCACCCTGAGTTTTTTGGCTTTGTGAAGAACCTCAGTTGTCATCATTAAAATCCAGAAAGTACCTCTTTCATTTTTGAGCTTGGAGCTAGACATTCGCAGCCTGTAGTGGTGCCTGAGAGGAGAGGATGAGGTCAGAGTTATCACCTGAGAACCACTTCGTGGGGGGACCTGCGGGGGGGGGCAGGGCGAGCATTTTCCTTGTTAGCCCTGGACATTGAAGGCACAGAACATTTTGTGTTCAGCATTTCAAAATTATTTTGCTGCCTGTTTCCCTCTTGACTGAGAACCTGGGCAGTACTGCAGACCGGCTTGTCTGCCTGAAAAAGAGTGAAATGTTCAAGTCAGGAAAGGAATTGCAGGCTAAGCTAAGGACTGTCTTTGCTGGAAAGGATTCCAGGGGGAGATGATTTCTTCTTTAGGCCTGTGAACCTGAGGCACTTGCAAAGCAAAAGCCGGCCTTACACTGAGTTCCCTCCTTCCCAAAGCTGGGGAGGAAAGGAACCAAATGCCAGTGTTAGCAGTGTGGGTTGGGACTAAAAACCATTCAGAGAAAACACTGTCATTTTCCTCTAATTTGCAAATTGCAGCTATTCATGTTGAATTGAACAGCTGAGGGAGAAAGAGTCTCTCGTTTTCACCTGCTTTTATTGAGAAGAGGCTGATAGGAGGAGGAATGCACCAACTTGTAGCTCATGCTGCAAGCTAGCTAGAACTGCTGGTGTGGTATCCTGGCTCATCATTGCCCATGTTGGAATAGTCACCGTGTGTGTATCTGAAGAACCGCTTTCAGTGTTTTTGTTTGTTTGATTTTTTTTGTTTTCTTTTTAATATTTGATTTTAGAAGCCCCTGTAATGCAGTTCCAATCCCAGTATTCCAATTCTTTTGTAAGCCTGCAAAATGAGGGTAGAGAATAATGGTACAAAGACCCATTGTTCAAAGGCACAGACAATGGGGGGGAGAGGAAAGGAGCAGTAGGGGAATCATCTCAGGGATTCCAGGGTTTAGCTCAATTAAGATTGTCCTAAAGAAAAGAAACTTCTCCAAATGACTGAATTCTAGCTTCTCCAGTGTTTTGAGCTTTCTTTTTCTCTCTGGTCCCTGTGGGTTGCTGTGGGGACCATGCCCAACTGATCACTCGGGATGAAAATATATAATGAGATAAGCCAGTACCTGGGAAAGGGAAGGGGGTACTTAAGGTCTTAGATGGGGGTGCTGAGTGCCAGGGCAGGAGGGAGTAATAAGTAATAATTGGTGTAGCAAATGCTGCCTGCTGCTGCCAGCAAAGCCTTCGATAAAGTTCTTTTCTGAAAATTTGGACCTGGGCAAGAAGGAGTACTCGGATGTCAGTGGTGTCTATGCCTTCACCTTCTCATTTGCCTGCTGGTATACCAGGCCACAGACAGGAGCTGAGCAACTCTCGCACTCTCTTCTGTGGACACGTGAGCAGGCTAGTAAATGACATGTCAGAGGACAAGAATCATATCCAGTGGGGCTTTCAAATCCAGGAATTTGAGGCTAATGAAATTAGTGTGTGGCCAGGGCTCTGCCAACTAGAATCAGATCACTGCAACTGCCCTGCATTGCATTTTCAGCCTCAAAGAAGCATCAGGGAGGAATTTCTGGAGATTTGTTTCCCAGCCTGTGCAAAATAATACTCTCCTAATGCTAAGAAAGATTAAACATAAATTAATATTGACTATGAGTAACATATTTTTTAAAAAATAATCAGAGTGGAGATGGCTTAAAGTGGAGAGGTTATATAATATGGTGACCACTGGATAGATCTCTCCTGGCCACTGTTTATGGACTGTAAGTTAGATCTATTACAGGGGAAAGTAACGGGAGCATTTTAATTCAGGCCTTTTTTGTTAGTGACTTGAGAGCAAACACTCTGAGAGTATAAATTACTCTTGCTACATGCTGACTCGGGATGAATAATATTTCATGTGTAGTGACATGGTCTAAGCTGTAGGTTTGGAACTGAATGACATTTGTATCAGTATTTCCTTTTTTTTTTTTTTTGTCCAAAGCAACTAGGTAGAAAAAGTAGTCAACTCTACGTTTGCTGCAACTTAATGCAAACCCAGACCTGTGAGCTTAGTGCCATTAAAGAAATGCATTTGTACATTTGTCAAAGTTTTTCTTCTGTTCATTGAAGCTGGAATATAATCTGCAACTTGGGAAGTACATTTTATACCTAAATAGTCTTTTTTTTTTCCTCCTCCTTCTTTCTCTTATATAATTGGATGGCACTAGGCACAGTGAATGGTGTGGCATTGTAGTTAGGGATTTTTTTTTTTTTTAAGACAACTTTCTCTTTTTAAAATTTTGTAAATATAGGTGTTCCTGCCATTTGGGATAGTCTTTGTTGCAATTCCTGCCACCACACTTACTGTGTTTTGGGAAATTTACCTAACAGATGGTGAGTGGGACATTTTAAAGAGGGCATTTTTTAAAAGAGTAGAGAGGGAAGAAATGAAGACATCCATACACTCTAATTGAAGATACTGCCATGTGTATTTTATGTACTCAGACCATTCAGTTGGGATATCTTCAGGCATTTTTTTCTCCAATAATAATTGAAATAAAGAATATAGTTACTTCAGCTTCATAAATGTTGAATAGATTATTAGTTCTCTATTTCTTTCATTTATGTAGGTTGTATCATGTATGAATTACAGTGTGTTGTAGTCTCCATCCTGCCATTAACTAGTTATACTACCCTGAATAAATCATTTAATTTTTCTAGGTTTTTATCTCCTCATCATTTTTTTTTAATTTAAACATACATTTTCAAGACATTTCTAATATTTTTGGTTAGCTTAGGGAAAACTTGCTCAAGTCAAAACTCCATGACATTGTATTTCCAGCTCCCACTTTAAAATTCCAATGAGTCTCCGGGAACTTTTCTTTTTTAAGGAGATTTTTGCTATAGGGTGAATGTACTCCCCAAAGAGAGAGAGAGAGACAGACAGAAAGCAAGAAATCACTCCTCAGGGAGGGGTGGCCATGCCACAATCCCTTCTCCTCCATTTTCCTCTCAAGATCTTGGGCATGACTCACATGCACCCAGCGTGAGTTTTAAGTCTCCAGGTCCGGGACTCAAACTGTGATTGACTACATGGGAGGCCAGTGAGACTACATGGGAGGCCAGTGACATAACCATTATGCCATCTGCTGGTTCTGAGTTTTGGGGGACTTTTTTAAAAAATATGTTTACAGAGATACCTCGGTCATTACTAGTCAGTTTTCAAGGTTCAGATTTTTCCTTTATTCCTACACCAGTTTGCGCTCAGTGCTGGTGTCAAGCCTGGAGGTAGGTAAATGACCTTCTGGGTCAGC